CGTTCATGCCAGACTGGGGAGAGAGGTGTTGTAATAATGTAAAATATGTGAAAAATAATGTGTTTTTCGAACAACCTAGTATGAGAGCCTGTTCTAGTACACCCCCAAAACAAAATCAAGACTTTGTAAAAGAGCATAATAGGACCCCTTTAAATTAATTTATTAAAGGTTTAAATGTCAAAACAACTGCAGTATCTTCCTCTAGGGGCAGTAATACTGGAGACGAAGGTTTCACAAGCTATTCTTGAATTTCAATAGCGTGACTTCTGCATCTCTTTTGACAATGAAAACTACTGGAAAATGTTCTTTGAGAAATCTGTAACAAGACACAGCCGTTGAAGCTGAGGTAGAAGATTGTATTTATTTTAAACGAAATTATGTACTGGTTTCATTTTCTATAGCATGTGTTCAATTATAGTTCTGTGGCTAAAACCACCATAAAAATGTTCTTCTAGGAATCAGTAACAAGACACACCTTTTGAAGTTGAGATGGAAAACTGTATGCATTTTAAATTAATTTATTAAAAGTTTGAATGTCAAATTCAGTCTTAATAAATGCAACATGTTCCTCTAGGGGGCGGTGTACTGCACAATCTATAAAAGGCTTTGTGAGCTTTTTGCTCAATCCTTACATTTAAATAGCTTTTGCTGTGTTGCAGTTTCGCGAATAAAACCAGCATGTAAATGTTGTTCCATGAACCAGGTAACATGACCTGGTAACATGACACACCCCTTAGAATTGGGACAGAAGAGCGTATTTATTAGAAATTAATAGATGTATTTGTTGCCATTTCAAAGAAGCTTCCAGAGCTCTTCCTCAGTTTTTACAATTCAATAGCTATTGTTGTGTTACACTTTTGTGAATAAAACCAACATCTAAATGTCATTATAGGAAACAATTACAAGACACACCCCATAAAGCTTAAATAAAAGAGTATTTGTGTTTTTTTTAATTAATTGATGAATGTGCTTACATTTCAATAGCATGTGGTGTGCTATAGTTCTGCAAATTCAACCGATATCTAACTGTTATTCTATGAACCAGTAACAAGACACAACCTTTGAAGATGAGATAAAATGCTGTATGTTTACAAAAA